CGTGCGACTAATCTATTCGTTCTTCTAGAAGCGCTGATTGGACCTTCTAGAAGGTGCTGACATCATCGCCACGTCATATGCTCCATGTCCAAAGTCATGCCCACTAATCTAACTTTTATTCCGAAAATAAAAAAAACTGCATAATTCCGTAATTTTAGTGCAATTTTCATAATTTAGTGTCCTGCACAGAAAATAAATCAAAACGAACACATAAACCACAAAAACCAATAATTACGGAACAATTTAAAAGTAAAATAGTAACTAAATAAATCACTTATCACACATAAAATCCAAAAGTTGGTTCAGTGAAAAACTCAAAAAGTAAAGTTGAGATCCATATGAGAAAAATGATGTGAGTTTTGCAGGTATCACGTTTTGTTAGGGCATTATTATCCGAGGTCACAGTTATTATGCTTCGGAAGATCCCATGTTCCTTTCGCTTCATTCTCCTATTCGTAAACATTGAGTCAAGTTTTGTCATGTTTTCATGTCTTGTACGCAACATTCATCTGGTTTTCTAACCTTGCCTTGAAAGCCCCTTTATCCCTATTCTTCAATGGGAAACAAATATATGATTATGAACAAACACAAATGACAAAAGCAAAGCATGATTGTTACTATGTTCATCAAAGAATAATTTTGGATGTACAAGCAAACATGAATCTTGTACACAAGCAAACAGAAAATGGGAGTTACCCATCATAAATTTTGGATTAGTCTATATTACGATGAAAGCACGATAATAACGAATGGAAAACGATAGCAACCAAGATTATGTCACGTGGAAAATCATTTTAAGAAAAATCACGAGTAAAAGAAGAGAATTTTCACTAATATGAAAGTAAAAAAGAATACAAGAGCATTTGGAGAAAGCATTCTTCCTTTTTCCATATTAGTGAAAATTACCATTCTTCTATCCGTGATTGTTAGCGTTATGACTAGGGTTGTAAATGAATCGAGCTTGAACGAATGAACAAAGCTATGTTCGTAAACGTGTTCGTGAACATGTTCATTTGCAAGCTAAAATGATAAAATTACGCTACTAATGCTTAAACTCCATAAGCTTCATAATTTAATCTCCGAATTTCACCTAGTGTTCAATTTACTCCATACATCCACCAATATTTAAAATGTAAAAAATAAAAAGTAAACAACTTCTAAACGAGCTTGTTCATGAACATAAATGAACGATCCGATAAATGAGTTCATAAACGAGCTTGTTTGTGAACATAAACAAACGAACACATCTAAGTTCATATTCGTTCATTTATTAAATAAACATAATTTTTTTGTTCATACTCGTTTATTTTGCTTAATAAACAAACATAAATGAATGGTATACGAACAATTTACGAATAGTTCACCGAACGCTCTGTTCATTTACACCCCTAGTTATGACCCATTTTTTCTTAGACTGGCCCATGAAGATACGGAGCAATATAATTTGTTCGATCCCAACAAATAGAAAGTAGGAATTAGGGTTTTGTAGTGTAACAATTGTTATAGATCATGTATTTTTCGACATAGTGAAATTTTCTTCTCTCATGCATGTGGCTTTTTCCTTTAGGGATTTTCACATAAATCTTGATGTCTTTTATTTTTGTTCAATCGTTTTCGTCTATCATTAATCGTTCCGATAATCATAACAATGATTTTTCTTGAAAGGATTTTCTACCCTTTTTTGCTATTGTTTTACATTCGTAGTTATCATGCTTTCTTTATAACATAGACTAATCCAGATTTTATGATGGCTAATGATATATAATAAACCTAACCTAAAAACAAGAGTGGAGAACCTTGGATTACAAGACAAGTAATGTGATTTTCTACAAATCACAAGTTTAATGGAAGATTTTAGTTGTTAACTCAAAAGAGGTATAAATGGAAGAATCTATATAGATTCTTGTGAAGATTTTAAGAGTTAGAAGCTGAAGATTTCAAGAATTATTTAAAATACATGAAGCAAAATGTGATATAAGACAAAATCTTGATACACCACTTTCCTTGTTCATGAATGTAATGTATTTGCAACCAAAATTTGGAAGGAAATTAGAGTCCAAATAATTAATGAGATTTAAGCGTTGAGGAGGGTTCAATGTGTATCGGTAGTTTCACACAATGTGAAAAGCTGGTGATGAGTGGTGACCGTTTATTTTCTTTAATTTTTTTCCTTTCGTATTTGGATTTTGTTTCCATTCCAAGCTCTATATAAAGTTAAACCAAACAACACCTTGAATTCATCTGCCCCCACAAAAAAAATGGCATCAACTTCATCTCAAAAACTCCTCCTACTTTCTCTTTTTATGCTCTTTTCACCATTCTATGCTAAACCTTCAAGTTCAAGCCTGGCAAAGTTACAGGCTGAAAAGCTCATAAAAGGACTTAACTTGTCCCCAAAAGAGGCTGTTAATGGTGGCAGCAATGACCTTACAGCAGAGTCTTCCAGGATTGTTGAAAAGCAATTCAGATTCCCTGTGGTTGGAGATCCTGGTCCTTCAGTTCAGGAGCTTGGTCACCATACTGGCTACTATAAACTTCCACATGCTATTGCTGCAAGGTAACCCCACGTCTTCTAAATCATATATACAAGTACTGGGTTCTATGTTTTGGATCTGCTATGTAAAACCAGGGATGACTGAGGGGCAGTTGGACTTTCACTTGAGGGCACTCGTCCCCTGAAAGTCCATTCCCTCTAACATAAAATATTGTGTCTGTCATGTGTAAAACCACGTCTCTGGTATTTTATTTTCAATCTACACTAAGGATATCAACTTTATCTGATTACTTCTTTCATATTATTTAAATTCAGAGACAGGTTGTATATGCAGTGAATATTCAATATATTCCTAAATGTGAACGTTTCTCTGATAAATGAAGAAGAAGCAATTATAAAAAAGTTTAGATCTAAAGTTCCAGATTCAGTTGACTTCATAAACCTAGTTCCAATCATGCATTATATTTAATGCCGACGAATGCACTAATGTTGGTTTCAAATGATGTTTTGGCATGTGAAACTATTAAAATGACTTGCACCTACACATGGAATTTATTGACATACTTTGCTTTAAAAATGCCTTATGACAGGATGTTTTACTTTTTCTTCGAATCACGGAACAGCAAAAAGGACCCTGTGGTGATTTGGTTGACCGGAGGTCCAGGATGCAGCAGTGAATTGGCATTATTCTATGAAAATGGTCCTTTCCATCTTTCCAAAAACTTGTCACTTGTATGGAATGACTATGGTTGGGACAAGGCATCAAACATTTTGTTTGTTGATCAGCCCACCGGAACTGGTTTCAGTTATACGACAGACGAAAACGACATTCGCCACAACGAAACCGGTGTCAGCAACGATTTATATGACTTCTTGCAGGTCTGTTTCTTACTTATCATCTGACATTCCTTTCCATACAAAGAGAAGCTAAACTGTCTTGTATGTACTTTCAGGAATTTTTCAAGCAGCATCCTGAGTATGTTGAGAATGACTTTTACATAACCGGAGAATCGTATGCTGGGCACTATGTTCCGGCATTCGCTGTCCGAGTTCACCAGGGAAACAAAGCAAAAGAGGGAATTCATGTCAATCTGAAGGTACTTATCTCTTTAACTTCATCCATTCCATTTGATTGAGAATTAATTTTTGAATGTTTGAACAGGGTTTTGCCATTGGAAATGGGCTAACAAATCCTGAAATCCAGTATCAAGCATACCCAGAATATGCTTTGAACACAAGCATAATTACACATTCTGATTATGTCAGTATCAAAAAGTTGGTCCCTTCATGCGTGCAGGCAACCAGAACCTGTGGTATTTCTTGCTCTCACCACTAAAAGATTGAAATCAACATCTATGCACTTCTTTTTGTGATTTGATATCATTGGTGTTAACTGCCATTGCAGATTCTAAAGGTGGAGATGCTTGTGTGGATTCTTATGAAGTTTGCACTGGTTTATTTAATCAGATCATGAGTATCGTTGGTAATTTAAATGTAAGATAACATATCTACCCTTGTTATATGATTGCAGAAGTAATTCAAACACAATTCTGAGTTGTGGAATTTATGATGGTGTACAGTTCTATGACATTAGAAAGCAGTGCGAAGGAGATTTGTGCTATGATTTCTCAGCAGTAGAGACGTTCCTCAATCTGAAATCGGTTCGGGATGCCTTAGGGGTCGGAAACATAGATTTCGTGTCATGCAGCACTACAGTATACGACGCCATGATTACGGACTGGATGAGGAATTTTGAAGTTGGCATACCTGCTCTTCTTGAGGATGGTATCATGGTGCTTGTATATGCAGGAGAGTATGACCTTATATGCAACTGGATTGGTGAGACTCTTCATCTAAAATTTGAAGAAATATAGTACAATATTCAGTCTGCTATAACTCACTTGGGGCAGGCAATTCAAACTGGGTTCATGCTATGGCATGGTCGGGGCAGAAAGAGTTTGGGGCAACTCCCACAGTTCCATTTGTAGTTGATGGTGTTCAAGCTGGACAACTGAAAAGCCATGGTCCTCTCAGTTTCCTCAAGGTTCAACCAGGCTGCATCTGCATGCTTCTTTCTGCCATTTTTAATGCTTATAAACTGTTCTCATGTCATTTAGTTTTTTACCTTCAACCAAACAAATGATGCAGGTACATAATGCTGGTCACATGGTTCCAATGGATCAACCAAAAGCTTCATTACAGATGCTGCAGAACTGGATGCAGGGGAAACTAACCTCGTCCAAGGCAGCGGATAAAGTCGCTCCCAAGTAATGAACCCACAATTTGCTCTTTGCACATTCTAAACATATATTGTGATTTTCTAAGTTCATCATTGTTTCAATAGTACACCCCTTTGTGGCTTATACAATCATCCAAGAAACCAAAGACTACAGTGTAATAAAATGGATCCAATTCTTTTTCATTCCGCCCTATATCATGCAATTACTCCTTAATGAACTCTAAATCCCAATATTCGATTGTGGCTCGTTGAACAGAAATAAGACGGATGAATAAAAGCAAAAACAAGTAAAGATGGACATTAAGGTTGTGAAATATAGTACCAGACCCTTGCAGCAACACCTATGTTTCAGTTCAGCATAAATGTTAAGACTCAACGCAGGAGAAACTATGTTCCATATGAATAAAGATAATAATATTAACAATCATACACAAATGCAGTACTACCAACTTATTGTATATTTGGCATTTTGAAGATGCCCCAAGCTATGCAGCAATAAATTTTAATGTGTTTTGAACACTCACCCGTACGACAATTGCAGCTTGAAATTACATGTACTGTACTGGGACCGTTTGGGAATGGTTGTATGGATATTGCTGAAGGACTTGACTGCCATCGATATATGTTTGTGAGGTTGTATTAGATGCATGGCTCAGAATCGAAAATTGATCCACATGGATCCCCAGAAAAGAAATAAGAGGATTAGCTCGAGACTTGTCAATGACAAACTTCAAGTACCGAGATTGAACTGTAGGGAATTGCAGCAACCTTTTATATCCCACTGTTGTGCCATTAATCACATTCTTCCATCTACCTCTACTCAGGATCTCAAGGTGGAACTTTATGATACGTTGTCCCATGTGAATCGGCTCTTGAACTTGTAAAACATTAAAAGATACTGTTTCTCGAAGGTCCAAATATAAGACCCAATCACATTGATCCTCCTCAGGAGCCCAATAAGTGCCAATACCTTCTTCAAGGACATTATACGGACTGAACTGAGAGTTACCATTGCCCCCTCGTATACTGCTGGCATTTAGGAGACCATTATCGGCCAGATTATTGGAGAATATAGACCTCCGAAGTTCCTTGAATTCTTGGAGTACTTGTATATCTTCATCAGAAATAAGACCGGAAGAATTTGGGGGCACATTTAGCAACAAAAGACAATTTCGACCAGCTGATTTGTAGTATATGTCAAGAAGCTTCAATGCCGACTTTGGCACTTGAGATGCATGCCAAAACCAACCCGGCCTGATTGAGACATCACACTCAGCAGGTACCCAGTCGTGACCATGAGGGTCTCCTCCTTGGGAGTATCTGTTAGAAAATAAAATATAATGTTATAACAATAGAGTCTAGAGGTACTAGTCTGGTTCCAAAAGAAAATTGCTTGTGATGATCCAAAGCAAGCAGGCCCTGACTTCATAGATTTCATGGAGAATTTGTTGTTGGCAATGACACAATCACGAGGCATTTTCGGGACAAAAGGCCTAAACTATAAAACGAAAATATATGCTTACTGAGGATCAGTTCCACCAATAGCAGCATTGCTTCGATTGAAAATAGACCAACAAGTAGAACCGGCAACACCAGCCTCATCGCCAATCCACCTGGTGTCAGGACCTGCATCAGAGAAGATGACAGCCCCTGGTTGGAGCTGATGAATGAGACTAAACCATGTATCGAAGTAATATTCCATATCCTTTTCCCCCTCTCCTTTGGCACCATCCAACCATACTTCCTTGATATCTCCATACCTGCTTAAATTCGAAACCGGAAATATAATATTACTCCCTTCTCAATTCAGAAAACCTAAGATAGCAGAACAGAAGTATGAAAAAAAGGATTCACGCACTGCCATAGTTACTAGAATGACAAAATTCAACAAGAAATCTTGAAATGTGAAAGAAAAAGCAAGGTCCAACTAAATTGAAATTTAATCTACACCATCAGCTAATGTAGCATATATTTGGTAGGAAAAGTAGAATTCAGTTCAAGTAAAAAAGCTGAAAGATAAGGCAGTACAACAGTTACAAAACCAATCAGTTGCACAAGCAAACATACTTCATATGAACATAATCAGAGAGAACAATTACCTTAAAAGAAGAACCAAAGAAGGCAAAGATAATGGTAAAGTCATCCCATATAGAATTCACGATTAAGATAAGCAAACAAGAGAAGATTCAATGAGTTACCTAGTCAACAACTCAGTCATCTGCCCGATATAGAATTCATTGTATTCCAGAGTCTTCCCATAGCAATACTCATGCCTATCCCATGGAGACAAATAAAGCCCCAAAGCAACAGTAGCTTCCTTAGCGGCCGAGGCCAACTCACCAACAACATCGCCATACCCATTTCTCCAAGGACTGGCCTTCACAGAGTAATCCGTGTATTCAGTTGGCCACAAGCAGAAGCCATCATGGTGCTTTGCAGTGAGAATCACCCTTGAAAACCCAGCTTCCTTGGCCACATGTACCCACTGAGAAGCGTTAAGTTGGGTAGGGTTGAATACAGACGGGTTGACATGACCCGTTCCCCACTCTGAGTCAGTGAAGGTGTTGGGTCCAAAGTGCAGAAAGAGTGCCATCGAAGAGAGTTGCCATTCGAGCTGAGGTGCTGAAGGGATGGGTAAAATGGGCAAAGGGGGTGCTATTTTGAGGGCAGAACGGGGAAGGATGGTGAAAACCAGGATTATTAAGATTGGTAAAAAGTGTACTGAAATGGGGTTTCTGGAATTTGTGGCTAGCTTTAGCTTTTTGATGCTATTGTTAGTGGTGGTGTAGCTGCCTTTGTTCATTGTGAAAGACAAGACAGGAGAGGCGAGGCGAGGATGTCTGAAAGTAGGTACTTTTAGTGTTGGAACTTAGAACTGAAAAGCTTTGAATCTGGGTGGAACAAGGAATCTAAGTTGTCTTCATTGATTCTTGATCTGATTATGCTTCTCTTCTGTTCAGTTCTAAGATTTGTCTGAGTTTTCTGAGTAGAGTTTTGACCAGATGCTGATGGAAGAGGGTTGGTGCTGAAAATTACCAAAAAATCTAAAATAAAAACGCTAAATTACGATCAACTTAGAGTGGAAGAAACGCAACCATTAGATGTTAGAGAAAAATATAAAATTCACAGCCAAATGATGATGAAAGGGACCACAGTATTGTTTACCCAAATAATGAAGACAGTGTACCTGCAAGTAAAGGGAAAAAAACGATCGTAGCTTTTATTTTATACTGTCGCCGACGTTCATTTCCCGATCATAATGATCACATATCACATGTCTGTGTTTAACCATTAAATAGGGTTACTTTTTAATATATGATTCTTCAATGATAAAAAGATTTTCACCATCCGAATCTTTAAGATGTCTTCCAAAACCAAAACTGTACAATAAGTTGCGCTTCCGATCATCTTTTACATTTAGTTTTGGGTAAACTAAGTGATTGATCGTTTTCGTTTAAATTTTATACATTATTTTATTTTAAATTTTAAAAATATAATATTTAATTATTTTTATTTTTATTTATTTAAGATATATCATTAAGGGTGTGTTTGGTTTACGGAATGTAAGATTAGCATCGGGAATAAAAGATTATCAGGGAATAGAATTACTGAGAATATTACATTACTGTGTTTGGTTAGTTTGGTAGGAATGTAAGATTACCGTATTTGGTTGAAGGAATAAAAGATTACTAGAATGTATATTTTACCAAATTGTCTTTTTTTTATATTTTTAACAAGTAAAATTTTAAATATTTAAATAAAAATTATTTATATAAAAATTATATATGTTGATAATATATTACTTGAGTATTTAAATATATCATGTATTATTTTTATTTTAATTAATATTAAATTTTATATAATTTATGATAAAAATATATTAAAAATATATTAATGTTTACATTGTGGTTGAGTTTGAGACGACTTTGTTGCCATGTTTGCCCTCAAGGAAGCTTCAAGCTATTGACCGTTCTCCCCACCCTTCTCATCAGAGTTAGTAGTTCTCACCCTCTCCTTAATTTCCAAAGCATTTCCATTTCTTTTTCTTCATATATATATATATATATAAAGATGATATGCCATGTTCCTTCTGTGGTAGTCTTTTGATATTTGTTCTTATTCTGATGCTTGGTTCCATATTTTATCATTGTTCAGAATCAGATAGATGTACTTAAATGAATGCATTAACTTACTAACGTAGTACCCAAAAAAGTTCAGATAAATTTAGTTAATATAAGCTTTTTGGATCAAATCCTTGTGTTCTAAAATGGTGTTTTTATTTGCAATTGCCATAGTTGATGTGGACAGGCATGCTAGAGATTTCATGGAGGCTGCTAAGAAGTTTCAGTTATACTTCCTTGGCTTGCAACGTGAGGATCAACCAACCAAAGCTGAAATGCTCAGAAAAGTAAACCCAACAACTTTTATTGTAGATGATTGCGGTGTATGATTAAGCCACTCCAAAGCAGCTCAATTTAACTTGTTTCTTGTTCTAACAGGAGATAGCAACAGTGGAAGAATTGAAAATGAAGTCCGAGATCATCAAGAATCAGGAGAGTCTGATCCAAGGATGGAGAAAGGATTTGAGTGACCAACTGGTTAAACATAATACTGAATTGGAGAGAGTATAGTCGAGTAGAATTAAGCATTAATGATATGCTAATCTCTTGGATTATAGTTCCTTTGAGATTGATCCAACCTAGGGTCTAGCTTCACAACCAGTTGTGTTATTGTTTGGTAGTGACAATTGCATTATATTTGATGCTTGTGTAACTGAAAAAAGTACAATTAATACTATCTCTTTATATATTAAATTTAGTCATTTGATTCATACTTACGTAATCTGATTAGTATCCGCAACAAATGTTAAAACATATAGAATTTAATAATAATTCATAGACAGAAACAAGGAAAAACAATTTTGACAAATTAAAAGCGGAGCTTGGAAACTTGTTGCAGTCTCCATCAATGACAGAAACATGGAACCAAATGCAAAAATACATATACCATCTCCTTGTCATAAAAGGGAAAGCCCTGCATTCGCCTAAGAGCATTGGTAGCGGAGCTAACATCCTCGAAAATAACCCAATCTTGACCTTTGTGTTTCCGTGTCTTCAATGCTAACACATCCAGTATCTTTCCGAATTGTGAGAACACAGCGTGCAACGACTTCTTCAACTCTGCAATCATCACTCGAGAAAAAAAAAAAGAAATCAAGGAAAAGAAAAGGATGTAAGCATTTTTTAAGTTTGTCGTCGAGACCAGTTTGCACTTGATTTCCTGTCAGGGATGAACCATTTACCTTTGCCAAATCTTGGACCGTCTCAAGGATGGTGGGGCCGGCAGCCATCCCAAGACTAGCAGGAGCAGCAGCTTCTCCAGGGTTAATAAACCCAGTAACCTTGGCAACTTTTTTGGCGAGACTGGAAGGATCTGCACCCTCCAATTTATCAAAAATCATACCATCCTGATAGAAACAATCAAATGACCAACCTTATTCATCTTTCAAGAGTGTTTAAATAGAAAAATCGAATATTAACCAAACCTAGACTTCAAGCAAATTATCAAAGGGCGATATTAAAGGAAGAACAGCCACACAATTGGATGGTCTAGCCTTATCAGTATGAATATTTATTGCTTTTATTCAAGATGGAAAAATGCGTTCCTGGGCAAGTTTAGTTAAATTCACTTCTCTACATTTTGAGGGAAATGATTGAATGAATCTAACAAGAGAAAATATTCATGTGTGTGTTCAGTGAAATACTCTCAGCCTAGGATTGTCAAATGCAATAACAAGCAGCTAATGATTATATTATGCAAGAAAAGAAGTAATCAAGTAATCGGATTGACTTAGCAACTAGCATTCGAACATATACATTCATAGATTAAATCAACTTCAGTGTGAATATATATATTCAATGGTCACTAGCTCTAAATATATGGAAAAACATAGTAAATACTGAACGTACCTGTGTCGACACATATACATAACCAACACCCACAACATGATCAATGAATAACAGTTAATTGACTTAATCAATGATCAAACAACAAGCTTATCAACAGATGAAGGTTAAAATGCTCGCTCGACCTCAAATCTTTAAGCTGTTCCCGCTGGTATATTTAGCCGCATGCCTAATGCTTTACTTCGATCGAAATCCAAGTCAGGGTTTACCTCGATAAAGTGATAATGGCTTCCTACCTGAAAAAAAAATGTTAAAGGGTTAGCACAGAGATCTTTCAATTCTTCCTTGGAAAAAATTAACCGAAGTTTATTGGTTAGTTATATTGTAGGTCAATTCTCTGTCCCTATGTTACTAAGACCGTGTCCAACACATGTCAGACACATTTTCGGATAAGGATATGAAGATAAGATCCTCCAAATAAATGGAAAACTCTTGGAAAAAAATATGAACATGCACATACTCGTATCCAACACTCACACACGTGTCCAAGTTACATAGCTACGTACACATAGATATAGTGGTACCGAAAGCTATGCTGTTGGCACCCAACATTCTTCTTGAAATGCTCATTTTCAACATATGGATACGGAATATGACCTCCAGGGATTCTCCAGAAAAACTTAGAAAAATCTAATCATATCAAGACCTAACACACGCTTACATCCTATTAATATAGAAAAACCTAACCATTATCCCTATCTGACACTTGCACTCAAATCCTAATAATATAGACTGAACTGAAACTGGTGTGGAATTGATCAAACTCTAAACAAGAAAAAAAATATGAATAAAAGAAGAGAGTTTGCAACACCTGAACCGGCTTATCTCCACTGTTAGTGACTCTGAGGCTTACTGCTCTCCTCCCGGAATTAAGTGTAATCGTCCCACCTTTTGGAATCAATTCATCGGGAACAGTTTTATCATCCATTTCGGGTTCCTCATTAGAAGGCACTGCATTATCAATATTTTTTTAGTTCCCACTGGGATACTTCATATTCACAAGCAGGACCAGTTGCATTGTTGATTTTGACAGAAAAAAAAGAGTTAACAATATGAGCCAAGAAAAATCTGGAACAATGGCTCTTCAGGCGTGTATTGCTCCAATTCTTTATTTTTCTTAATGTGTCCATAACAACGCTCATGTCCAACACATGAATGAGGATATGACCTCCAAATATATGAAAATTTTCAGGAAAAGTCTAACCATATCCGTGTCGAATATATACCCTTATCCTGCACTGACATGACATGATTAGTTTTTTTAAAGTCTTTACAAGTATTTGAAGGATCCTTAGAGGTCAGATCTCCACAACAATGTTTGGGACCTTATTACTTCCACAAAAATGAAGATTAAAAAAACATAACACTTGGGATATAAAACATGAGAATTGCAAAAGGAAAAATCAATTCCATTTATGATTATTTAAAACATAGTTACCTGAACAGAATCCAATAAATATGGCACCATGAAAGAACCTGTCTCCTGTTTATACAATCTAAAATATACATGCTATAAACATGATTATAATTACTTTTAAATATATTTTATTTAGTATTCATAATAATATTATTGTTAATGGTTTTAAGCATGAGGTTAAAATATAATGTACACATTAGCATTAAATATTGATAATTAAAACATTATTTATACACAATAACACTGAATTTAAAAGATTTACGTAAAAGACACATGATTTATGACTCATATTTTAATGATAGCACGGATCACATGATATATGAGTCAATATTGAATATGACCCCATATTTTAAAATAATATATATCAACATATTTAAAAATTATGTTCGGTTAATTAATTGTAATTTTATGAGGGTTTGTTTCGTTTTTAAATACTACAAATAGATTGAAAATGAGTTGGGTTGAATTTTTATTTTGTTTATTCATATATGCTTCGGGCTTGGTATGTGTAATGTTATATATATATATATATATAAGAAAAAAATTAGGTGAGGGGTGGCTAGGTCCAGCGTATACCTAAAATTCTATTGGGATTTATAGATTGTCCATCAAGAATGATGGTGATAGGATTCAAACTTGGTCTTACAAGCTCAAATTTCTAAATCTCAACCACTTGTACCAACACTATAAAATAGTATAAGTTTATAAATATTTTAGTCACTTGAGAATGCTCATAAACGTAATTACTCGAACTCGAGTCCTCTAGAGAGAATAATATATTTGATTTTAAAAATTGATCAAATAAAGTACTTAAATGCAAGGGTGGAGCTAGAAATTTATTTTAGGTGTCAAATTTAAAATGTATATATATTTTAAGGTGTCAAATTTAGAAATTATATAAAGATTTTTTTAAAAAAAGTGGATAAAAATGAATAATATTTTAAATTAGTGTCAATTTATGTTTAAAGGTATCAATATTATTTTATGAATATATTTATGGTTAAAGAACATTCAAATGAGTGTCAATTCTATTTTGCTGACCTACATACAGAATCTTAAGTTTTCAATCCAAAACATACATTTATTAATATTTGAGGGGATTACATCATAGTGTTTATTTAAAAAAATTGATATATAACAATACATATATACCTTAAAACGTAACTGCTCGAACCTGGATATTTTAAGAAAAATAATATTTTTTTTACCACTTGATCACTCAATAGGTTCTAATTCAAAGTATAAGTTAAAAAAATTAACATCATATAATATAACATTGAAGGTGAAGGATCCTTGTCAAGATAGAAAAAGAATTAACATATATGGTTCAACTATGATTATACAAACATGAACATCACATTCACCTCAAATCACACAAAGAAAAGAAGAAAAAGAGAAGGCATATCCTCAAGGTTTTTCAGTGTGTGGTTTATTAGTAGCACATGAAGAACCAAGTGTTTGATAGTTAACATATCGGCTTGGAGCTGATGAATGATTAGCCCCTTTGGGCATGCAACCCTTGAATAGTTCCTTCTTATTGAAAACCTCGTGCTTGTTATGGATCAGTACTTGAGGGTTCGTCTTCACGTAATCGATCGACATAGGCATCATCGTGCTCGGAACACTCGACGGGATGTTGCGAGCGGCCGTTGTGACATTCATAGAACAAGAAAACATCAAGAGGAGACAGATGAAAATGGTGCAAAATATAGTGGAAGACATTGTTGTTGTTTTTAGGAATTATTTGGTTGTGCATTAAGGAGGTTTTTGAAAGGGTTTTTAAAGAGAGCGGCTAAGTGGTGAAGAGGGTCTTGAATAGGCCCGTGAGTAGGTGAAAATGCCCGTGAGCTTCTTTTATTACACCAATCAAACCGAATATGTGTTGATTCAAATGCCCCAAATTATTCCGCTTCTTTCTTTACTTTCCCACCACCCTACAATAGGGACTACTTTCTTGGACCAGTATTATCTTATGGTACTGAATTGTTCCGGAAAACTATTTGTGTTACTACAAGGTAATATCTGTTCGAAAGACTCTTAATCATTTGACAATAAATGCTCAAACACCCTTGCTGACGTCGTGCTCGAACTCTTGACTTCTGAAAACATCAATCATCCCTTTAACCATTGAGGTTACTTGATTCGTGCAACTATAACCATCTTCAGTCGTCTTCATTTGCTTAATTCCTAATAGTTTAGGGACTGAATTGTCTCTTTATGATCTATAGTCTATCAACAGAAATAATAA